ACAGGAAAGTGGAGTTTTAAAGCCAGAAGATGGCTACTCAAATAAGCTTTCGGAAATTCCAATTCCACCCATGAAACACTAATCAATGCCAGGTATAACTTTCTACTGCATCTGTGTATAGTTATCAATCTTCTATTAACATATTTTAACCCTCAAAATGTCATACACTTATGGATTCTACACTTTAGCTAAATTGGCATGTGTTCGATATGTATCTACCACAAAGTTACAAGTTACAACCCTATTATAGACCTATAAACAACCACATAAGTGTTCTGGAAACTCTGGCAGTCACATTAGACATCACGAGTGATATAAAATCTGGTATTTTATTTTGTTTGGAGTTTTTCTAGAATTTGGAGAGTTAGACTATTAGGATATGAGGTTTTTAGTTAATTGATATGAACCAAATGATAAACATGAGTAGAAAGAATAAACGTAGTGCACAAGGCATATACTAAGTAATTATTATAGAAGTCATAGCCAAGTGTGAAAATAATCATTGCGGAAGAAAGAGCTATATTTGTCATATGAGAAGATATTTTAGGAATTCACATTGTACAATCTCCTAATTTTCATGTACAATCTCCTAATTACCAATGATATCACAGTAACAAATTGGAAGCTTAATTAGTAGCAAGAAATCAATACATGCAGGTATATGTATAACTGATGTACACGATTTGATTTGATTGTTGTAATCAAATATCACATGCACAACAATCATAAGTACAATCATGTTGTAAATTGTTTCAATCAATTTCTGATTTCCATATTTTGAGTTTTGACTGGGAACAGAAAGAGGAAAATTAATTTCCTTGCCTCTAATTTAGATGGAAAGTTTCAGTCATTTGCTTAAACTAGACTTTCCGGAGTCTTATATATAGTGCAAGAAGTAATCTCACAATTCGCACATCATCTCGATACTAGAGGCAAACTTAGAATAATAATAAATAGTAGAAGAAGAAGAAGAAGAAGACGATGAGGCTGCACTGGTGGGAGATTCCCGTTGGTATAGTCGTTCTGCTAGTCTGTCTATCACTTCTTTTGGCCATGATCCTTCCGTGTATATTAAAAGTTAGGAAGAAATTAGTTATGCTATAGAGAAATCAATGCATTTTTGGCTTCCTTTTTCTATTTCAAAAGATGATGTTAGAGATATCAAAATAATGGTTAGTTTTTGCTGTCAATTTTAGTTTTGCATGTCATGATTATTGAATAAAATTTTTGTTTTGTTATTGACAAGTGGTAACGATTATTGAATAGACCTTTTGTTAGTTTTTTTTTTCGTGCTTTATTGGTTTTGTTTCTTGTTCGTGTATGATTATTCCATAAGCAATTTTTTCGCATTTTTAATCGTTATTATACAATTCGAAACTAATATATTGACAAGGGAATTTCTAATATTATTGTGTTTCTTTTTTTTTTCTTGGTACATATAGTTAATTTATTGGCCTGACCAGATGCCCGCTGTGTTTATTTACACGAGACTAGAAAGGTTATTTTTCTCTCTTTTGTATTTTTTTTTGTACAAAGGAGACAATAAACCTGTAAAATATATATCTAACATACCTCGCGGATGAGGATGTGTTTATTAGTACTATTACTTTTTGTCCCCTCTCATTCGACAGGAAAACAAAACTCCAAAATATGGCCAAAAACATGTAAATTTAGCATATGTAAAAATTCCAAAAAAAAACAAACAATAACTTTTCAGAGGGTTTTAGATCACTCGTGATGTCTAATGTGACTGCAAGAGTTTCCAGAACCCTATTATGTGGTTGTTTATAGGTCCATAATAGGGTTGCAAGAGTGTGTTAATTCTCGGGACTTTGTAGTGTGATCATTGCACTTGAGCTAAATTCGCGACTAGTACAAGTTATCAAAAGATTTGGGGTGGTATTGTTACCTTTGTTGGAGCCTAATTAATTGGTAAGTTTGCCTGCAGTTTGGTTGGATAGCAATGGGAGTGGGGACTTGGTAAAAAAAACAAATTTTTTTTTTGTCGATCCACCAGTCTCTTGAATTTAATTATTTGGCCCGATTGACATTTATATTTTAAGACTGTAGTCCTACGAGCTCTCTAGCTCAAATTTCCCTTCTTTTTCCCAAAACGGACACTGATCGTTTGAAGCATCCCATTTATATAAAATTTAGAAGGTATTTAGTTTAACTAAATTTTAACGTCTAAAGTATTTGCTTCACTATTGTAAACTTAATCAGATCTAGAAACGTACCGAAGTCGGGGCGTCACAATAAATCTTGACCCATCGTTATGTTTTAAAATTAAAGAAGTTCTCCGCTACATCAAACATTAATTTGTTAAGAGATACAATTGGGGAGTAAATTCCAGAAAATTGATTAGATAGGTCAAGGTTATATGCTTTAATTTATTGTGAACGAAAATTCAATATCAATAAAGAGGAAAATAAAAGAGAGTCTTCCCTTTTTAGTCTGATCGAAGCGATGAAGTTATACGAAACTTTCATAAACTATTCTTTCTACATTAATTCGTCAATGACGAAATATTTTTCCTTTTTCTAAACGACAGTAAAATGGCAATAAAAGAAAAGGAGCATAAAAGGAACTTACAAGTCTTAATTGTCAACTTTCCGGCAACGCTATGCGAAAATTTAAACGATATTCGTTAAATATAATTTTCATTTACAGTTTGAGTACATGTAATCATATAAATTTTATTTTTTTAGTAATAATTTCTACTGAGTAGTTGATAGATTGGGTTATCAAGAATATTTCCTCTCCAATATTGCATACATACCTAAATACGGTATCTGTCCTTTTGCGCTGTGAATTAATCAATCATCATGTATACCTTCAGATTCTCTTCAGATTCTAATTTTTTGTTGTATCAATTCATGAAGTTAGTCTAAGATTTTAGGTTCAAGAGGAATTCCGTAAGATATAAAATTGTTGTGCTAACCTAAAGACACATAAAACCATGAGCATTTCGCCCCTCCGCAGTTTAGTATAGTTTTAGGTCCTCACGCAGTGACAGAGCTAGGGGACCAGTAGAGGCGTTCGCCCAACCTCAATTTTTTTTTCCAAAGACCCCTTTAAAAATTTAATATAAATTTCTAGATTTTTATATTTTCACACCTGCTAAATATAGTTTATACATTTTCGCCCCTCCATCTTATAAATCCTGACTCCGTCCCTAATGATTTTCTTCACTCCATAAGTTGGCCAACCCGTAGATGATGTTATGTTTCATGTCCATATCATTCGGGAAACGAAAATATTCTCCTTTGTACCAATTATGTCATTTGTATGAACTCGAAGGCCAGTGTACAAGGGCGGATTTAGGGCGGGGGCCACAGAAGCCATGTCCCCCACCGGATCTACCCTAAAGCAATAAGATTTATCTATAAAACTTCAGTTATAATTAATTTTTTTAGTACTTAATTTTGAAATCTTTATATAATATTTTCTAAAAAACAATTTCTCACTTCCGACAATTTTGTTTTGGGCCAATAAAATAGTCCAAAATCCAAACCCAAAATGGAGTTAAATTAGTTTAAGTCAATTATTTTTAAATCATATAACATTTTAATTATTATTGAACTAATCAAATTAAATTTCATTCAACAATACAATCACATATTTATTAACATTTTATTCTTATCTATACTATCTAATAGTAGCATATTTTTCCTATATCATACCTTATGTTTTTCATATGAGTCGAAAAAAAAAAAGTCATTTCTTTGTTGTACATATTTTTAAATGTTTATAGAGATATAACCATTATAAAAATTTCTTTGAAATTAGAGAAGAGTTATTTGCATAATTGGATGCCAAGTAATCGAACAAATTTTTTATTTTCATATAGTGAGAAAATTAATAATTACAAAAATATAATGTAAAGAGAGTTTTACAATAAATCATACTATGAACACACTCCGAGTGCATTAGTAAAAAAAATGATATATTTTTCTAACAATCTATTTTGAGTCCCACTAAAATTTTGTTCTAGATCCGATACTATCAGTGTAGATATAATTATTTTGCTAAAGGTGGATTTGTACCATGCATCAGGATAAGCTATTCTTCTATAATTAGCTACATGCATGTTTTCATAACTAGTGGCATGCAACATATGATCAAGGTTGTCTCATCAAGTGTACGGATTGCCAACTGTTTTGTGTTTTTAGCTTCTTTATGATTGCTGTGGTTGTATATTTTCTTAGCATCATTTGTGTATTGTGCAGGTTAGTATTGCTATGCGTCATGTTAGTATTGACAAAGATCCACCAAGTAATTTTTCGCATAAATATAAGTAGATTAAATATTTTCCAAAACATTTGACTCACCAATAATCATACTTATTCTCAATAGAAGTCCCTCAATAACTTAAACTCCGTAATAGCTCCAAAAACACCTCTTTTTTCACAGCCATAGCACATTTGAGTTTTTTGCATCACCAGCACACTCATATTATCACTTCTGCCTCAAACATGGCCGGCTGTTTATTTTTTCATAGCTGGAAACTCACCAATGTGTCACCATTATTTTTTTTTTTAATCTACCTAGTTCGAAAACACAAACTTGAACTAAATTTAGTTTTAAATTCTGTCTTATAATTAAAAGAAATAAGAGGAAACACAAAAGAAACATTAATACTTCTAACATAATAAAGATATGTGGTACTATTGGAGTTATTATTATTCAATAAATTTCGTTTGTTGCCCAATCAATGTTCATGCAACAAACAACTACCCCCAGTAAAGTTTGCCCGTCCTTTTTTATTCTCTGGCTATGCTCCTCTATATATTCCTTCGTCTATACATTCATGGACGACCATCAAACCTACAGATTTTTTCAAATATGTCCTCCAATATTGCTTTCCGTTTGATTGATAGCCCATAAAAGTCTACATTTTGCCATCTTTCATTTTGTTTCCATTCGATTCAACCGGGCATTGGTATATATTAACAATGGAATAGACTGAAGAAGGCTTGTACTTATTAACAGCAGGTCTGATGGGTACAACTCGAATCTCGAAATTAAAATGCATTCAGATTCGCCCCAGCTATGACCGGATCTTGAATTCGAGACTGGATGGGGCCTACTTTTATGAACTAAGCTCTCTCGAGTTTCTTGCTATCACAACAGGAAGAGGCTGGGGAAATGGAGTGGTGGTGAGTTGGCAAGACGGGAGAGGAATCGGAGAATCCAGCGTTGCTTTCTTCAGAAAGGCCTGTCCACAGAGCTCCCTACCCTTTGTTCGTCAACCTTGGACCGGCTATGAGGAACCCTCCCCAGTCCCCATACACCTCTCCACATAATCAAGCATGCCGACCTTATCAACATGGCGTGAATATTGCGGCCACAATTAATATATAGTCGAAAAGGAATTGTACTGTCTCCTTTCAGCCATCATGACAAGAACGCAAAGGATATTCAACTTTTTGCAACAACATCAATAAAGCTCTATTGTCGTTTGGTGATATTATTAGATTTATGTGAAATTGTATATAAGATATTATTTACTTTCTAATCAAATTAGTCAGAAATTGTATCTTAGATGCTTACTGTAGACTAAGGGCATTAAGAATTAGGCTTGAAAATGAATGTGTTTGTTTTAATTTAATTTATAGGCTTCAGCTTGGAGTCATGTTTTCTTATGTGGTCCACCAAATTTCAGATGTAACTCTTATCAATAAATTCATGGAAAACTACTATTTTACTTTGAACTTAGTATCTCAAACATACAAAAAGAAAAAAAAAATAATGTTACAAACTTACCTTAGTTTGGCAGCTTGCAAAGCAAAAGTTAGAAGAGGGAAAAAAGAAAAGGAAACAAAGGAATGAGTTAATCGAAAATTCTGAGACACAAAAGATACTCCCTCTGTTCCAAAATAAGTGTGATTCTAGAGTTTGCACATAGTTTAAGAAAACATTAAATAAGGTAACTAAATTACTAGAATATCTTCAACCAATCCCATTAAAATAAATGTTCACTAATAATATTATTTCTTTTGAGGGTATGTTTAGAAATTTTTGACAAAAAATACATTCGAATCCGAAAACGACACTTATTTTGGAATAGAGGGAGTATGTGAAATTGATGAAAAGCTTTTTGTTGAGTTAAAAAGTGTTGGAAGAATTTTTTTTCTTTTTAAGATTCCCAATACATTTTCGCCAAAATGAAAACCAATGAACATCGAAATTCAGATCTCATATTACTGATCATTACTGAGTAAGACTCCGTATCATTATCAAGACAATGAAAATTTTCATAGACCAGCCAAATAAATTCTTTTGTGGACACAACCAAATTATTTATATTTCACCAAACTCATTAAAGACCGTATGTACTATATAATAATCCTGCCTAAAATTTTTGCTCAGTAAAAATAAAAAATCTAAATTGAACAATAATATCGGGACGGATAGTGTATAAAACTCTCCATTTTATCTCCTTTTGATTCTTCTGCTTCTTGGCGTACCGACAGTGAAACCTTTTTCTTCATCCACTTTAAACTTCTCTTTCTAATCTATTTGCCTAAATCCCCAGCTTCCATTTCTTCAAGAGCCTAGATATATATAAGCAAATGAAGAGACTCAAAAAGGCTTCAAATCAATTTCCTGCATCAAAGAATATTGCAGATCTAATGAAATCAGCCACATAGAGATAGGCCTCAGCTATGGGCACATCAAGCATTGGGGGCGGACGGCATCTGCAGCTATGAACTAAGCTCTCTCGAGTTTCTTGCTATGCCGGAAGGAAGTAACCAATCACGGGCAGGGTTTATGATTCAAAAGATAGGGTATCCCTTGAGGTTGAAGGGTTGTCGTGTTCTCTGGGTTGCTGCTACCTACAGACGCGGTAAAATCACAAGAGCTTCTTTCCAACATCACCAGAAAACCGCACGCACATCATAGCTTCAGTTCTTTTCTTTTTCATTTTTTCCTCCCTTTTTTTGTCCCTTGTTATAGTGACCAACAATCCAAAAATTGTAAAAAGAAGCACGTTTTCAACATGTTTAGTTGGTGGAGGGTATATCAAGATCATTAATTGATACAGAACATTTGTGAGTTTTGGTCATGTGTATAAGTTCATTCGAAATTCTTTAAACTTGATGAAATTGTATCTTAGCTATCCTTCGAATTTCATCATAATAGAGTTGGACTAACTTTTTTTTTTTTTAATTTTACAAAAGCAAAAAGAAGTTTCTTGTTGGAGACTTCAAAGCGTGTTAACCAGAGTGATTCTTATAACATGTGCTTGGATTGATTAAACTCAGCCAAATCGATCTATGATAATTATAATGTGATTTTCCATGCACATCCTAGTATCCAAAACCTCTACCAAATAATTTTGATTCCAGTTGGACCTGTTCTTTTTGTGCGATGACTATCACAAGGTAAAAATAAAAATAAAAGTTAACCATACTTTGAAATACGATCCCTGATATCATGAAATATATTTGAAATACAATTTCGGTAACTGTAAAAGTTCCAAAATGTGTCTTGGTCTCTACGTATCCGAAAGACTAAAGCTACCACATCTCTTAAGCCCTGAGAAAATGGAGAACCGCTTGATGAATTCCAGAGCTGCTCAGGTTTATTGCTTCAATGGTGAGGGAACCAAAAAATAAAATAAAATAAAATAAAATAAAATAAAAAGGAAACAACCACCCACATTGAAGATTCTGGCATGGAAAAGAAGTGGAGCTACTGAAGTAGTACTATCGAAAATGTTTTCTGATCCCCAATTAATTAAATCATCCGTCAACAATCAACTACCCACATAACTCCCTGACTTATTGTGACTACCCTGACTCATTTTGTTGATTCTGTGTCTGAATCTAAATCTAAATCTTGTCCATCTAACTCCCTGACTCATTTTGTTGATTCTGTGTCTGAATCTAAATCTAAATTTTGTCCATCTAACTTTACTTTTATTGGAAATTGCTCAGGGTTTTATCTTATTCATTTGTTAGGTGGAAGTTCAAAATTTCCACCTTGAGACACACCAAATTGGTCTAGCCGAAGACAATAAAGAAAGGCGCTTATTGGGAGGCAACCCAAATTTACTTGATTGTGTTTTGATTTGTTAAATTAGTTTTGTCAGTTGAAATTTAGTTTTTCATACATGTTTAGTGTATTACTTTAGTAAAAACAAAAAAAAATTTTAAGCGTAATCATGGGTAAGATAATGTTTGGTTCGCTGCATTTTTATTGGAGTAATTTTCTCTTAGGCGTGATCATGCCTAAGATAAGAATGAATTCTAAAATTTCGCTTTAATTTTTGACAATGACCAGCGAATCTCCATCCTTACTAGACGTGATCACGTCTAACACGCTGGAGTCTTTTCTTAGAAAAAAAAAACACAAATTTTCTTTTAAGTTTTATTTTCTCTCTGTTCTTTTCCAGGAACCCTAAATTTCAAAATTGCAATCAGAAGAACCAAACTTCAATTGGATCATTGGCTAGCTTCTGTTGCTATTATCATCGTTCGTCAATTGTTGTTTCGCACCCTGCATCACCAACATTTTTCTAGGAAGTGTTGCTCTTCATTTTTATATCTTTTGCTACATTGTGGACAATGTGTGTTCTAAGTGTGGGGGGGATTTTAGTGTTTCTTTTCTATTTTATATTTTTTTGTTTCATTGTTTTTATTGCATAAAAAAAAGAAGAAAAAAATAACAAAAAATGAAAAAAAAAATCAAGAAAATGAAAAAATCCAAAAGTAGACGATGATGAACTTAACTTGAGGCTCTTTGAAATCTAATTACATTCGGACAAAAATTTCTTTTGAGTCTGTGCATTATGTGTTATACCCTGAATACTTTACTTGCGCACTTAAGCCGTAACTCTGGGATAAACTTAACATGTATGTGTAATTGCCTAAATTCATGCGATATGCCAAAGTTTGATTTGATTCATTCAGTATTTGTACCATGTGTATGTGGGACTTGCAATATTATGAAACCCAAAATAAGGCATTAACCCTATCATCAGTTCAACCTCGAAAAATGGGGGAGTGGTAGTTTGAAAATAGCCTTTTTACCTTCTTGCTTAAAGCACTTTGTGCTAAGTAAGTGTGGGGGAGGGGTTGTTGGCGGATGCTTTTCTGAGGTTAGGTACAATTTAAAGAGGGAGAAAAAGAAGAGCATTCAATGTTAATGCTAGCCTATTGATAGGTGAGAGGTCTGGCAAACAACTAGCAGAGTGTCCTCAAGCCCGTCAGTAAGAAAATATGAGTAAGTAGACTGCCCTAAGTTGCTGAGCCACCATGTAAGTTCACTACATAAATCAAGTGGAAAAATGCTCTGGGTAGGGGCCTGAGTGGGAAAGATCCTGAAGAAAAGCCATATGGACACCGAAGAATGGGTACGAGGGAAGGGCGTTGAATTGTATTATGTGAGGTGTAATTGTAAGCTTTCGGTTTCATAATATGTGTAGGAGTAACATTGCATTGAAGTACGATTTGAATTGAGGATCTTAAGTTCACTCTTCAGTGGCATATTTGCATTTGAATTTTGTATTTTATGCTATGTGTGACAGTGATGTCCCTAGGGAATGGTTTACATTCACACACAAAGTGCTAAAGGTTAAAAGTACATAATGTATTTGACTTGGTTATGAATTTCGATTTCGCTGTTACCATGATTTCTTTTGAGTGCTTGAGTTTCTAAGGCACATCTTAAATAAGAAAAATTTTAAAATTCCTGTGTTCTCTAATGCTTGAGAACAAGCATACTTCAGTGTGGGGGAATTTGATAGAATCCATAAGTTGTATTTTAATTATTGATATTTTATTAGTTTATGGACTTGAATGGATTTAATTCAATATTTTTGTTATTATTTCATGTTAGGAGCTGGAAATAAGAGATTGGAGCTTATTTGGCCTAATTTGGACGACCAGGGACTTAAATACAAAATTGAAGAAGTTTTTGGGCAAAAATAAAAATACTACAAACTTGAGGGACTAAAGATGCAAATCATGGACTAATTCTTCTTTTCCAGCAGCTGACCTAAATTTCTCATATAAATATACTTTAAGTTTTATTTTAGAGGGCAGCCGTGAGAGGCCAAAGGCTACCACCTCCCACCTCTTGTTTTTTCCAAATTTTCATTGTTTTCCATGGAGAATCAAGCCAACATACTTCCAATTATGAGTAGCTAAGGATTTCTTTTCTAATTCAAGGGATTAATTTAGATGTTTCATTGTGAGGTTATGTTTTAATTCATCTTTCTTGGTTTTAATTCTTGTATTTGTTGATTCTAGTTTTATTTCATGAAAGTAGATATTATGAGAATTGACAACTTGATTGAGTTTTGCTTTCTATTGCTATCTATTGGTTGAATGTTACGTAATAGACACGAACCATTAGTACTAAGTAGTAATTAGGCTATGTATGTGTGTTATTGAGACATAGGATGCACATGCTAGTTTAAATGTGGAATCAACAAGACAAAATTAATTAATTGTAGCTATCTCTGTTAGTTGATTTTGGTTCAACTAGTTCTTGTGTGTATTGCTGTTGTGGCTAGACATGGAACGCTATCGTGCCCAGTCTGTCATAGCAAGATTTCATTGAATGCTGGGTTTGGTCAATGTTTTTAGAGAAGTTTGAATTTGTTATGGCTATCCTAATAAATTTGGGGGCTTAATACTTGAATGTAAGAATGTCTTTTTTGACCTATGATCAGTGAAATAATTGAGTTGTCCGTCCCTTGGATCAGTAGTTTGTTACTTGGATTTCTTTTCTTTTATTTATTTTTGTTATTTGAATTTTATTATTTTAATTTAGAAAA